ATTCCACAGAATTTTTGAAAACTGTATTATTTTAGGTCCTGCATCCTATTAATGTAATGTTCAAAAGTAATCAAAAAGTTACTATTTTGATAAGTGAAATAACTATTTTCTTAATCATGTTCTGAGCTTTTTCTTTTTTAACATGTAAAAGTGAATTTTATTCCAATTACATCTCTTCTAGTTACTGTCTCTTTTGCATTCTTTTGGGTACCTGTCACTGGGAAGTCAGGCTTTGAGATGGCCTTTGAAGGACAGGGATAAGGGTGGCTGGTGGTGAAAGGGTATGTCTGATAGGAGGGGAAAATTGAAATGTGTACAGAGAATAAGATCTCAGAGTCCAAAACGAGCCATGGGCCAGCTGTGTTCCAAGGCTGAGAATGGCCTGACTGCTAATGTTAGGAGGAATAGCAGAAAAGCAGGAGAAATAGCTAGGCTCACATTAAAACCCTGGAGGCTATGGACGCCATTCAACACCTAAAGGAACCCACAATATGACCTTTCAAGAGGATGCTCTGGTGGTGGTGTATAGAAAGACTCAAGTAGGGTGCTGGTGGTGGGTGGTTCTGCTAAGCACATTTTTCTAAAACCCTACTCAACATGGAACTCTGTTCTAGGCCCTGGGGACTTAAAAACAAAAGAGTTCCTTCCTTCTGGCCTGGTGGGGGTAAGCAGGAAGAGACCTGTTAAAGTGCTATATCTTCATTCACTACTTGCAGCCCTGCAGGTTAGAGCAGGGTCTGAGCAGCAGGAATGGAGAGGAGATTTGAAAGCAAGAACAGGTGGTATCTGGGGAAGAATCATCAGCCTTTTATCTATTGGGTCCCACACCACATGCTTTCGCCCCAGTCTGCTTTTATTTTTCTCAGTTCATTCCCCTTGTTCTTATTTTTCTATCCTCTTTGTAGCCAAAGGCACTTAGTGAACACCAGCAAATTAAATGCCATGCTTAAACGCTGTGCCTTTTTCTGAATCCACGGGCATTCATCACTTTGAGAGGGCTTGGTGTTCTTTCCACTGTTGTTTTCCTCTCTGAGTAGTCACTCTGTAGGTCACACGCAGAATTAATTGAAGTTCACATAATCAGACTGGCGCATTTTCATTAAACATCTGAGTTTAAATGAAAGAAACAAAGGCAATGCCACAGAACGGCCCACTAAACAGGCACGTAGATCAAAGGCACATGGGCTGGCTTAACATACTACTGCATGTTTATCAATCTAATTTAAGAAAGCTTTTGTTAAATGGCTTATGATGTACCAGCTGCTTAAGTGACCACTGGGATGAGCTGAATAAGACACACGTGCAGTCCTTAAAGACAGGTGAGGAAGCGCCCACCAAGTGACATCTCATTCTCTCCATTGCTCATGTTAGAGCCTGCCATGACCACTTCTTGTTCCACCATTCCTCCCTGTTCAAAGCGCCTAAGCAAGCCTCTGAAAGTCTTATCATGTTGCTCTTTTCCTCTCATTCAATGAAATTCCATGTCCTTAATCTTGGCCCATAAGGTCCCTTATGATCCAACTTTGATGTCAACTGTAATTCTTTCCCTCACTCCACTCCTTTTTGGCTTCTTTACTTTTCTTAGGATGTTCTAAACCCACTCCTCAGATCCTTTTCCTTGTTCCTTACATCTGGAATTCTCCTTTCCTTGACATCTACATGATTTGCTGTCACCTTCTGCAGATTTCTGCTCAAATTCTTTTTGGACCACCTGGCATTCCCTAAACCCCCTTACCCCTGCTTTGTTTTTCATCAAAGCATTTATGGGATAAGCTGCACTTAATAAATGGATAAATTCCAGCAGTAATATCTGTATCCCTAAACAACACTGAAAACTTTACAGAAGAGGGCCTCTGGGGTTTGCTCCTGTAGTCCCAGAGCTTAGAATGCTGACCACCATGTGGTCAGTGCTCAACACACACTTTTAAAATATACTGAATGATTGGTAGTTATGCACAGAATTTTAGAGGAACAATAAGAAGGGCATATGTCACATCCTGGGATTAGAGAAAGTTTTCTTAAGGAAATGATTCTTGGACTGAGTCCTCTTTTTGTGTGTTCATTCCTCATTCACTAATAAAGTCTTACAGACTTTTCCTAGGTACCAGGTACTATTCTAGAGACATGAATGTAGCTTCCAGGAAGGCAGACAAGCCCCTGTTCTTGTGGGAGAAAGAAAATAAGCAAGCCAATCCATCAGCAAACAAGAAAGATATCTGAGACTGACACATGCTATGCAAAGAACTGAAAATACTGCATCATAGGGGCTGGGGATGTGGCTCAAGTGGTAGCGCACTCGCCTGGCATGCGTGCGGCCCGGGTTCGATCCTCAGCACCACATACAAACAAAGATGTTGTGTCCGCCGAGAACTGAAAAATAAATATTAAAAACACACTCTCTCTTTAAAAAAAATACTGCATCATAAAATATCTATGTTGTGACTTCAGACTGTATCATCAGAGAAGTATCTCTAGGAAATGACATTTCAGTGGAGACCCGAGGGACAATTAGAAAGCAGGCCTATGAGGATGAAGAGCTAAGTATTCCTGACATGGATCATGGCTGAAGGAAAGAGCCAAAGCAGCACAAGAGGCGGCAGAGCAGTGGGCCAGGAAGAGAGGAGAGCAACTTGAGATCAGGTCAGAGAATGCAGGAGGTGACATAGGGGAGGTGCCAGATGGAAAGCACTGCAGGTGGAGGGACTAAACCCCCAAATATGAGCAAACAGAGGCAGGTACCAAATGAATGGTGTGTCTAAGTGACTTGAAAATGGATTTCTTCTGGGTGCAGGGCACAAGCAAAGATGGAATCTGGGATACTGTGAGGTGAACTGGCTTCTCAGGAAGCTTCTGGCACATATTTTATTGCAGCTGAGGAGAGAGAACAATCTCGCTGGAAAATATAGCTTCTGGGAAAAGCTCCATAAATAACCTACTATAAAAGTCTAGAGTAAGAAGTACAGTCTTAGAAGGTTCAGATGCTATGTATTTGAGCTCCTGCTGAGCTTACAACTGGTAAGCAAATGCAACCTTGCAAGGTTTACTTATTCTAAACACCATCTCAGACCTGTAAGGAGTGACAATCCCTAGTATAAATACTGAGCTGAAGGATGGGTCAATTAACTTACTCTGGGGTCCTAGTCCATGTCTTCTTTTCAGGATCTCACCGACTGACCCAGTACACCTGTCTAGAATGATTCTTGCCCTCAATTTATTCTACAGGCTTTGCCTTCTGCAATTTCCCTCTGGCTCTCTTGTATTCTCCTGTGCCCACCGCTAATTTGGAAAATATACTCTTTTTCCCCCTCAGCAAATCCTTGTCAATACTGTGTTCTATGGAGGCCAGTCAACAACCTCTTCTCTTTACTAACAAGAAGGATGCAAAACAAACTCAAAGAAGGGATTAATATGCTTGGACGCATTTCTTTTTCTATAGTAACAGAGTCCCGAAGGAGTGTCCAAGTCGTCGGGAATCCTGACAGATTGGAAGTTTTGTAACAATTGGGACCCTGTTATCAGTAGAACCAGATTCCTCAGAGAAGGCAGTGCTGAATTCATGACAAGGAATTTAATTTAGGCTCACAATTTATCAAGTAAATGGTGACTTATGAGAAACTATTCACTATGTGTGTCATACGGCCTGCTGCTGACACTGTGCTCTGAGACTGAGGCCATTTAGAGACAATTACTTTATACATCATATTAGAACACATCATGAGGTATACCAAGATAAAATATTTATCTAAGAGGCAACAAATGAAGGGTGACATTTTCATCCATTAACAATGGTACATTTTCCATTCTTGTACCATAAACCCTATTACATATGCATCACTTGGCAATGTCGATGTGCAGTTGAGGTAGTACCAGAGACTTAAGATTTCCATTGTAAGTGCAAATGGTGGCCAGCTGAAAAATTCTGAATAGATACTATTATCTTCTTCAGGAGCCATTTACTTTTTCAAGTTTGGAATGTCCAAGATGCATTCAATGTTTTCAAGTACTGTTTTTTTTTTTTTTCCCCCAGGTGCAAAATCTACGGTGTATAAAAACCATATGAACTTTAGCAATGACATGGGAAGTTACTGTCAGGCTGATACACACATACACACATAAAAGCTGTTTTAGTCAGTTGTCATGAACAACTCAGAAGAGGGGCAATTTATTTTAGCTCATAGTTCCAGAGGTTTAGTTCATGGTGGGCCAACTCCACTGCTTTGGGCCCAAGGAGAGGCAGCACATCACGGTGCTACTTCATTCATGGTGACCAGGAAGCAGAGGCAAGGGAGAAGGGGACACTGGTAAGATGAACTCTTTCATTGCACGCCCCAGTGACCCACCTCCTTCAGCCACACCCACCTGCCTTCAGGTGCCACCCAGGCAGTCCATTCAAACTAGAATGGACTTAAAGGTTACAACTCTCATTAATCATTTTGCCTCTGAATGTTCCTACATTAACACAGGAGCTTTTGGGGAATACCTCATATTCAAACCTTAATACCCCCCCCACACACTTTTGGGTAAATGGTAAAGCCTTGAAATACTCAGAAAAAATAATATTTTACAATGTGAATTAAAAACTGGAAGGCAGATAGAAGGCAAGAGCTGGCCAGGTTGCTGAAAAAGAAATACTTTCAAAAAGTTGGCCCTGCCTTTAGATGCAGAACATCCCTGAAGACCACAGCTTAAAATTTAAGGGCAGGTGCTCAGTGACCTATCTTTTTGATAGTAGAGACTGTTAAAAAGCAAATGAATACGGTTTAAAAAAAAAAAAAAGATGGCCAGTACCAGGCAGGGTCCAAGAATCACAGCACAAAATTATAAAACATTAAAAATAACTTTTATTTCCATTTTCCAATATTTCTTTTATACCCATCCTTATAGAAATGAACATTTTCAGGGCTTACAACTTGTATTTTACCACACTCGAATTCTAAAAAGAAACAAATCACTACTTATTCAGCTGATATAATTAAAACTGAAATTAGCATTAGAGTTACCTGAAATTCCAGTCCATAGTTTTCTCTGCAGAATTCTCTCAGTTTAGGATATACATTTTCTCTCAGTGCCTGTCTTTCTGCTCCCGTGTCTACGGTAGAAAATCAAACATATACAAGTGAGGTATACCCACATATTTCTAAAAAATAATAAAAACTTAAATATTAACGTTAATATATGAAATTGGGGTGATAAGTTTTGAAGTGGTGGGATATTGGGCTGCTGGGATAATTCCCCAGAGATCCACCCAGTAGGCATGTATAAGTAGCACACAGGATGGATGAGAGCCCCACTGGTCCATTTTCTGTGCAGGGTTGAGAACTGAGTTGATTCTTTATGCCCACATTGGTGTTTACATCAAACTTTTAAATAGTCATGACCACCCTGTCTTTGGGGGAAGTAGGTGACATTATAGATTCCCCTGTTTTAGCTCAATGACATGTAAAAATTTCAACTCACACACACATTGATTTAGTTATTGATGTACCAAAAAATCCACACCATATATTTTCCTGTAGAGATTAGAAATAATGCAACGTTTACAAATTTGACACAGTATCCAGGCAATCAGCATAATAATTTATGAGAGACCAATAGTGGAAGAAAACATGAAAAACTAGCAGATCCCACCCTCTGTAGATTCAACGGGGCAAGGGTTTAACAGGAACATCACACATTTTAGGTTTAGGGACTTTGTTAAATTAAGAATTTTTTTTTTTTTTAATGTGCCACATCATGCAAGACAGCTGACATAAAATGTTTTTATCCTGTTATTACAAAATATGAGACAAAGAACCTGAAACCAGAATTGGAGAACAAACCCACACACATTTAATGTTGAAATTTTGCACAGGAAGGAATTCCCAAGCCTCCTGTGCTGAATGCCATGATTCTCTTGCATCCATGGTGACACTCTAGGAGTATTACAGCCAAAGAGGGGTGTCCTTGCCCCATGAACTCCAGTGAACCATTGGAAACAGTTTTTTTTTTCCTTTCAAAAATTAAGTTAATGTGTTATCTCATGAAAAGTATCCTTTGCTAAATGTACCTTAATCCCAGCTGAAATGATGGAACATCTGCAGGGCACATTCACAATGCAGATAAGAACTCAAAAGAATTTCCTTTTTATTCTCAAGCACATCTGCCCATGAAATATTTAACCATATGCTGTGCTGACCCACTCTATTTTCCTACTATTCTTAAGCCTATTTTGAGAAGAAACAAAGAACCACGTTCAAGAGTCTGAAATGTAGCTACAGCCCAGCAGAGTGGCAGGCACCAGAGTTTAAATGAAAATCAGTCAGAGGAAGAGAGAGTTTCAGATTCCGCTGACACCTAAACAAACTGGGTCTTTCCATACAGTAGATCCCACGTGGTCCTGAGCCCAAAGGGCAAACAGAAAACCAGGCTGAACAGGGCCCTGTGGTGTTGCGGCATTGCCAGACACAGCACATCAGGTTTTCATATCATTTACATAATCTTGGGATCAGATACCTATCCTCTCTTGCCCCAATTAAAAAGCTGAAAACAGTAACTTTATATTAAAGCTGGTAATAGTCAATCTCTCTAAAAGGTCTTGACAGATTTTTTAAAACCCAAATAACTACAACAACAAAAGTCATTTAAAAAACAAATACTATCATATATGGAAGTTGGGAATATATTCAACAGGTCTGAGTGTTCTGAAATTCTGAAGTTAGTATTTGATACATGAAATAATTATGGAATGATAGAAGGAACAGAAATTTCTTAAAAAATCTTAAAAAAATCTAATTATAATTCTTATTACTGAGTACTGAGGCCTGGATGTGCAAAAGTGAGGAGGAAAAGACAGAAATATAGTACTCAATCTCTAATATTTACTAATAGTGAATAGTCTTACTATAATCTGGTAGTGTGCTAAGCAAGCCTATGTGTTTTTTTTTCCTTGGTCATTTCTGATGATAACCATATGAAACAGGTGAAATTTTTATTCTGTTCTTTTGATTGAAGAGACTAAGGACAGAGGGATTAAGAAACTGGCCAGGTTATATGGCCACTAGTTTAGACAACTCAGATTGGAAGCCATGCATTGCTCTGCTTTACCCCGGAGACAGGCAACTACAAAAAGAATCAACCTTTGAAAGCAATGAATACAATAGCTATAAAAAATGGCTAAGGGTTGTAGAAATTCTAGTGTGTCCAATAAATAAATTTGAGGTATCCTTGATGGATTCTTCTTTCTCTGTTATAAAGCCCTACCATAGCCAATCCATCAAGATCTTCTGCTATACCTCTAAACAAATCCTGAAATGATCCAGCTCTTCCCTCTGCTGCTGGATGCAAGCCATATCCCCCTCTCAACTGGACTGGATCCCTGTTTCATATGTTTTCTTCAATCCATTCCACACAGAGCAGCCAGAAGGACCTTTTCAACATGTAAATCTGATCACATCATGACCGGCTTTCAAACCCTCCAACAGCTTTGCATGAAACTTGGACGGAAATCCACACACTCTTTCTGTTAAAGCTTTCACATTCCCCAAGTTCATCTCCTACTACTTCCCTGTTCATGCCACCCCAGCAGGGCTGGCCTACAGCAGCTTCCCGATTACAGTCCCACTAATGGGCCTTTGCTCTTGCTGTATCTTCCTCCCACAACCCTGAGTCCTGGATCTGCTTGAGGCATCTCTGGACACTGGAGTGTCCCCTTCAGTTCACCTTTTCAGAGAGGTCTTCTCCAAGCACCCCAGCCACAGCAGCCTCTGAACCACTGTCTACTACCTTCTTTTAAATTTTGCACACGACTCATCACTACAATTGCTGTTTGTTTACTATCTCCCCTAGAAAAATGTGAGCTCAATGGGAGTTGGAATCCTCTGCCTCATTGGCTGGTGCCTCCCCAGGGATTAGAGTCATGCTCAATGAGAGTGAATAAAAAGCCCACACATGCACGGTGACAAACCACACCCTGGCCTTACTACCCACCCGACAATAACCTCCTGGAGCACAGAGGCCTCCTAAGATACAATTCGTCATTGGGAACATATAAAAACAAGACTGAGATTCTGGAATATAAATGATGGGGTTTAGATATTTAGTGTCATAAGGTAAACGAAGAGAGTGAAATATGAATTTCCGATTTCCATATTTCTAGCAGAATATGAGTATTTTCTTATCAAGCTATTTTGAACCTTGCTAAATATGTGAAGGAAGTACCCAGACCATAGCTGGTACACATTCTGGTGCTCTTATTTTATGAGAATGACTCATATTTCCCTATATTTGTATTAATATGTGATGATTGGTTCTGGAAATGGAAAAGTAATTAAGATAGAATGGATTAATTGTGATGGATGACAGATAAGCTGGCTTAATTAAATAAAAACCCCCCTGATTCATACCAACAGCAAATCCGGACGGCTGGCAATTAAAAACACTTGAATGTCAGAGACAGGAAAAATTAACTTGCAGAATCTCACACATAAAAAGGGACCTCTTCAAGTATAGATCAGATGAGGTGCGTCACCATGTATTTTTTATACATAGTCAGTACATCTGTTTGAATCTGCTCTGCTCCTTAGTGCTTTGAAAAGGTGCATTAACACTTTGGCTGTGCTATTAGGTTTCTGAGCAGTTGCTTTCTAAATGATTCTTTGGTGATCTCAGAGTAAGTGAAAGTCTGTATGCAGTGTCTGAACTACCCACAGGAAGTACATTAGTTGGGGAGAATTATTAATCAAAACCAAGATCCTTGAAACATCTTGATATAACTTCAGAAGGGTTTAGATTAATTCTGAATGCTTATTAAACATAAAAGAGTGTTGAATGACTATGTTGGAAAGCAACCTCACCCAGCTCCTGCCTTGCTCAATAGCTGGCCACAGATATTAGATTAAGTCATTTTTCTGACTGTTGGCAGCTCAGAAAATGTGTTTAGGATCCATGACACATACTCTGCTAAGATTGTCACATTAGCCCAGTGTCCCAGGTTTCCACGTATTTGCTCTTGCTTAGATATTTTCGCTCATAGCTTCTTAGCCAGTGATCTTATGGACAGTATATCTGGCTTTTTGTGGTTCTTACTTGGATCAACTCCTTGTTTGTACATTTCCCAAACTATGTCTCCTCTCTATGGCCCTCTGAAAAATTCTCTAAACCCAACCAGCCACACTCACCCTTCCACATTCAAATCTTGTCAATTTTATGTCAAACATCTTTCCCCCCCAATGTTTTCACACCCATCTTCTCTCAACCCCAATTCTATTTGTCTAACCTGTTATCTGTCCCTCACTCACCACAGGCCAATGAACCATAGAGATACAAGAGAGAAATTCCATGACAAAACAAAAGCAAAAATGAATCTGATCAATAGAAACCTTGGCTAGCCTTTGGTGGGCCAGAGGACAAAGGCCAGAATGCTCAGCAGCTGTCAATACTGACAACCACAGTTGTCTGTTTCTTTTCTATTCTTCCAGGATTTCTTCCCATTTCTACCTAACAAACATTAAAAATTTAAATCAAATATTTTGACACTAGAAAAGTCATGAATTGGACTAATTCAGTGATGACTGTGAAAATGTTGCATTCTTTCATTTTATCGCCACAAGCTTATTATGAGACAAATATGACTTGCCTATTTTGCAGAAGAGGAGACAGAGCTTATAAGTCACTCACTCAAGGCCACACAGCTAAGCTCCACCTTTGGCTGTTCACCATAAATCTTCCCAGAGTCTGAGTTTTCAGATGTCACTTGGCTGGAGCCTTGTCCTCACATAAAACACTTTTTATGCTCAGAAGCTCCTGTCAATTGCACCCCTATGTGCGACTCCTACTCTTCTGAGTCCCAGTCATGCTCCAGGAACTCCTGCTAGGAACAGGCATGCCCCGTCTTGGCCACCCCACAGCACTCTGCTCACTCCTGTGTGACATCTCATGCTGGGATCTCCTGTAGTTTACTGTAGTTATTATTTTTAGTTTGTCTCCCTCATTGGGCTGTGAGTTCATGGAAGATAGAGATTTTCTCATCCATCTTTACATCTTTACAGAAATCAATGATTCCCAGAACATAATTCACATAAGTGAATGGGCGAGTAGAAGCTATTATAGTCA